AATCCTCGGCAAACTGCCGGAGGGCCTCCATGTCTTTCGTCGTTGCTGTCTTGACGCTCTCTAGTTCCAGGGGTTATGCATGCTCCCTGCAAGTCCTCCTCGGGCGGCTACGCTGGCATATGACTGCACGGTGTTCCCCTGATTCATCGGCTCCAGTGCTTTGATATCCTTCACGACCTTGACCGCCAGCTCGCTGGCTTTCCAAGCCTCCTTGGCAGCCGCGCTGGCTGCGCGCGTTGTGTTGGTGGTTTCCTTCAGTTCGGCCGTATTCTGCTGCATAGCAATCCTGATGGTTCTCGATTCGCGGATGTTGCTCTCGTGGGCTGTCTTGTTTTCCGCACGTAGACTCTCAATAGCTTGGTGGAGGTGTCCGAGCTCGGGCAATTTCTGCAATTTGGCCAGCAGGGGGATGGTGCCAATGAGAGTGAGTCTCACGGCTTTCGGGTCAAGGGGGTGTTCGTTTGCAGTGTCGATCGATTTGAGTGCTGTCTGAAGGTGTCTGCTAGGTGTCTGCTAAGTTGAGTGGCATGCTCTCGATGGTGCGTTGGCCATGGTTGCTCCTGGGGCCATAGGGTTGCCATGGTGCCTGCGTCGTTATGGGCTTCGCGACGAGCACAAGGCTATCCAATTGACCTTTCGGAGTGTGTTGTGGCGCTGTTTTTACACCGATTTCAAAAAACCTACCCGAGGCCATACTATGGACCTACCCATGGTGTGAGACGATGTGGAAGCGCTTTCCGCAGGTGGTTGGCTTCGGTAATACATACAAGACGAATAAGTTCAAGATGCCCCTCGCTCGGCCCTGCTCGAGGTCCTGTCTACTGTTCAACTCCAACTTTGCATCTTCCACATCAATGCGAATGTGGACCTCAACGTCAAACGCAAATGGCTGGGCGACGGCGCTGTGGAAGTTCAAGATGAGTTTGACGTCAACAAGGACAAGGAATCCGTCGAAGCTTCTGCGTTGGCCCGCAAGGAGCAGAAGGCTGCCGCCGCGGCCCTCCTCCACAACCCACAGACTGCGGCACTCAATGAGATCTCACGTGCCAACAAATCCTTCACCGCCCAGCAGTTCGAGGCCACCGAGTTCGAGCATACACCTACGGGCTTCTGCCAGCTATGGGCATACGTGCTCTACGCAGATTCAGAGGTTGACTTTGATGCTGCCTGGAGAAAACTCCAAGCGGATCTCACTGACCAGACTCTGGCTCTGTCATACCTGGCCAACACGTACATCCGCCTCCGCCACCAGTGGGCCCAGTGCTTCATCAGCGAGTATGAGAACTTCGGTGTACGTACGAATTCGCCTACCGAGACCGCTCATAAAGACCTGAATGAAGTCTTACGTTATCACTGGCCACGCAGACCTCTATACCGTCTTCCGAGCAATCGACGAGATGCTGGCCAACAAGGAAAGGGAGTACGTCGAGGCCACCGCTATTATGGAGTCTCGTACCCGCCGCGAGTATCTCCGCCAGCCGTGGCTTGGTGATGTGACCAAGCAGGTGGGATACAAGGCTCTGGCACTCATGGCTCACCAGCACCGAATTGCCCTCACTGCGATGCCGTCACCTAGTGACGAGAACCCGCCCGGTCTCCAGCCTTGCCGTGGGCGCTTTACGAACCAGTAAAACTACCTTGCAGCCATAAGATCCTCGAGATCCTGAAGACGACTGGAGGTCAGTTGACGAAGTACGACATCCACCCACGTTGGTGGCTCGAGCAGCCCCTAGTACGTCGATCTATCTTGCCTGTAGAACACACACTAACCTCCCTAGGATCTCAACGATGCCCTGATGCGAATCAAGAATCCCCGTGTTGTGACCAGTTTACGTGGGCGGCCGCGCAACCAAAAGATTCCGAATCCAACATCCACACCCACGAGCAGCATCTTGCCGTCGAGCGGCCTCCCGTCGAGCAGCTTGCCGTCGTCGAGCAGGCAGCCTAGACCGCCTCGCAAGGCCACGAATCCAGCCCCGCGGCCAGTGAGGGCGCGCATTCGTCGCAATCGGTCGGCATTCGAATATGATGCAGAGGACGAATTGGCAGCAGAGCCACCGCAAGAGACTGTCCAGGACTGCATTACGGTTGGAGGTGACGTCTCGACGTCGACGAGACGCAGCAGACGTCGTACTGGGCAGCCGCCAGCGTCTACGGCGCCGGGAATCTCTGACCCGGTCACTTGACCAATGAGAGGCCGTAGTTAAGGACAGTTTTGACGATTTTGATAAAAATCGAGATTCGACGAGATCTCTCGATTGCCGCAATAAAAGCCAAAATAATTTTCGAATTACATTACTTTATGTAAGCAGCTGGAAGTGGTCCAAGTGCCTGGGCAGAGTGTGGGGTGATTGCACTAGTTGCGGCTAATGCGGGCGTGTGGGCCTAGAAAAACATATCTGTGATCTGAACGCTGTGATTGGCTTAAAGAGTGGAGTACTGCCCGGATAGCAAAACTCCCACGAAAAACCCGGATTTCCCTGGACTTCAGAAAACCTTTCAATACAGAGGCGTGGCTGTCCAAGTACGGTGTGATCAAAATGACGGCTTTGGGGCCATCATCGACAACTTAAGATGACGCCTTCATATACCCACCGGCGACGCCAGGACGACAAGGCAGCAACGGGTGTTCATGAATCATTCTCAGCTGTAGACTTCTTTGCGATTAGTGGGCGACCACTGCTCCACTACCTAAAGATTATCTTTGAGCAGACGCCTTGGCTTTCTAGTCCTTCAAGTATGACAAGAGAGAAAGTTAGTCACTCGAGTACAATGCTGCCACCAACGAGCAGTTCGCTCATCATACGATGCTGTCACACCGCTGAGCGGGCCTATACGCAAACTTCCCAAAGCAATTGTTGGTATTACTGTGTCATCAAAAGCTTGACCCGCCTCATCTTCTTTTGCCCTAGGTCAAAGATAGTGATTTAGGAGAAAACATCCGTGTATTGCATCAGCTGTGAGAGTATGGCAAAGCATCGAAGACCTATTTCAATCTCACCATATTTTTGTAAGACTATTTAGTAAAGAGATCAAAATCGCGAGCACCTAGTCTTGGGGGCTGCGTTTTCCACATTGGCAGCTATGATATTCTGGACACTCGATTGCTCGTCTCATACTGCAGCCTCTCCTTGCTGGCCCCTGATCCGGATCAAAATTCTGGTCGGTTTATTCCTCGCCGTCGCCTACACTTTATTCTTCGGCTGGTCGCTTCGTTGCCCTTGACTCTGATTGTCGAGGTTGACAATCAAAGTCTCATCCAAGGCCGAACTGCTATTACTAGCATGGCCTTGTTCGACATCATAGCAGGAAAACCCGTCGTCATCCCAGTCAATAGTCGAAAATAATTCCTCTTCATGTAGACTCTCGACGCCCTGATCGTGGCGTTTGGTGGATGTATCAATGATACAAATGGAACAATCAAGTTGGTCAAGATCAACACCAGAACAATGGGATAAAGCGAGGCCGGTGGCTCGATCTAGATCATCATCAGAGTGACAGAGATTATCAGAATCAGCGTCAGCCTCTTGAGAGCTGTTCGATGTCTCGGCTGCGGTGTTGATTCTAGTCGGAGTACTAAGTCCGTCTCGGGAGAGTCGAAATTCTGGTAGGGAGGGTTCCCGAGAGAGAACCAGCAAATTCGCAGTGGATCCGCCTGAGGGCAATGTCTGGATATGCTCTCCAATGCCAACGAGCATAAGTTCCATGACTTGAGTAGGTACAGACGTCAGCCGAGTAGAATTTTGAGAGCGAGATGTGGCCGGGGTCGTTGCCAGTGAGGATTGCATGTGGAAGTCCAGATTGGGACTGAAAACGCAGACCGAATCTTGGGAAAATGAACTTGTGAATGTAAGACTTCCGTTTGCGGCATGCTAGGTTTAAGGGGAACTCGACCGGTTTATAGTGGAAAATAGGCTCTTGTGGACTTCGATCTGGAACGGCGTTTCGAATGTCGACTAATTATTGTTATGTACTATATGAACTAATGCGAATGCTGCTCAAGATAAGTACAAAGAAAAGGGTGTGTGTGGTATCGCGCGTTGATTTTGGGCTGTTTTCAATCTCAAAAGTTTGAACTTCAGTCTCGATTTTTGAAAACCTGTCCAGGTTGGGGGGAGGGGGGGAGGGGCGCTAGACGTGGCGGAAAAAGAGAGAGAGGTTAATGGTAAGCGAACAAGTTAAAACCATGCGATGGGGTATGGAAGAAGTGCCACAGGGCATGGTACAGCGGCAGAGCCGATGATTTCATTGGCCTGCACAATCTCAGTTCAGTCGACTTAGTATGAACATGTCTGATTGGCTTAAGTTGACCGGGCGAGGAGATGAAGACGGCAAAGCGGGTCAGTAGTGAAATGTGAAACTATGCAAATGTCAGACCGCCTGTTGGATAAACGATGTCGATTTAATGTAATACCACTGAGGTCCATTGATCAAAGGGTGATTGTTGTGCTTGATTGAGGGATTCCGTCCCATCCCGGTCCGAGCGGGGTTCTGTCTTGTATTTACCCATCATCACCGGTTCTTGCATATTATTCAACGCATTTCTAGCATCCCTTTATCCAGACACAGTCGTCAATCCAACAAGTATACTTATATGGGACTAAATACCAGTCGTATTTTTTTCAGCCCTGAGCAGTAGGACCGCCGGCGTAGCAGCCTCTGGCCGCTCTTAGTTAAATGCTTCGGTAGCGCCTACCAGTAACCAGCGGCAAGCTCTGGCTAGTTACTGCGAAGAGGCCGCTATTCTCGCGGCGGGCACTGGTAACTGACGCTAGCCCCCAGCAAGTCACTGCCAGAAGCCGCCCTTAGGACTGTAAAGTATGTCCCGCTACATACCGACAGTTCAGGGTGCGACGGACGAGCCAAGGAGGTTTAAGAACCTCGGCCGGAACGACTTGAGAGCCCACGAGCGCAGGGCGCGAAGCAACGATAGCACTTTGTAGCAGCCGATGAGCGTTTCGGTGCCTTCGACTGCCACCCACTCGAAAAGGTCCTACAGCACATGACCAGTCAGTTCTGAAGTCGATAACGAGAAAGACTAGAGCAGAAATTTCTCACAATACCATCAGCCCTTTCGACGGCCAGATAGACGTGCCAGACGCGGCCAGAGACGTGCAGGAGAGGCAGCGTGAGGCCGATGGGCGCGGGACTGCGTGCCAGCTTGTGTAGGCGGAGGAAATGGGAAGCGACCCAGACGGATAGCTGTGCCTTTGCCTCATCGTCGGAGCCTTCGGGCTGCTTAGTCTCGATGCTGACGGCGATGGGACTCAATCTGAGGGGAGGGTATCCGGTGTGATTGATGGATCGCGCCGCTGCCGCCGTTTCCGCAACACTTGCGCTTGCCATCGACCTGGCATTGGCACCGCCTGCGCCCCGTCTGCTACCTCTAGAGGTTGCCGAAGAAGCGCTCGATGATGCTGCTGACGATAGAGGGGCCTCCTGGGCCTGAGCGGCGAGGAGAGCAGCACGTGCCGCTTCTTGAACGTGAGGGTCGTTGAGGACTATGCAGTAGTCGACCATTTTACCAGCCAGACTATCGCCGTCAGTGTGCCTCGGCACGTAGAGGCTAGAGATGCCGGCTCTGGTGGCGTCGATGTATCGGACGTCTTGCTGGATTGTCCCGTCTTGGTTCACGTCAATCTCGATACCGGCCTCGAGCAATGGGGCGTGGATACGTGCGTTCCAGTGCGCTTCCGAGTATGTGTAAACATTGGCGGCTATGGTCTCCCTGGCGACCTTTGAAAGAACCCAGAGTTCGCCCATGAGCGATTCCAAAGTTTGTGGACTCGAATTCGTTGCATCGTCGTTGGGGGATGTTAGATGGTGTGGCCTAAGCTTGTGCGATGGGTTGATTTGCCGGACGCGGCTGTGCACTTCGGTAGCAATAGACGCGGGGACGACGCCGCAGCCGTCGCTGATGTCGACGAGGCGCTCACATAGCTCAGTAACGTCTTGAGGGATGTCATGGTCGGGAAGCTTGGGCACGATCTGAACGCGCTTCTCGGCAAAAAGTAAATCGGCCATGCCCTTGATTTTCGGACGCGGACGCGGACTTGGATGGTAATGGAAACAGAGGAGGAGGATGATGATGGGTGTTGATGCGAGAGGTTTCTTGAATGCCGCGCTGGTCAAGCGAGGTGGAGTAGAGCGAGGTGAAAAGAGGTGAGGGCTGGTCGGATACGGGCAGCGGTTGGGGCTGCGAATGACGATGTTGATATCGGGCTCCTCGCGGGGTAGGAGACGTGTAGTCGGCGTTGCCCAACTCGTCCTCGGACTCGACGTCCATAGCCCCACTGTCCCTCATGATGATATCGGGCGGCTGCTTCGTTGCCTTCATCGTTGCTTTCGGGTTGGCGACGGCGCGAGGAGTCTGAGGCGGTGCTCCTCCCGCGTCGGTATTGGCGTCCATGGGTGCGAGGGGAGTTCGGTCACAAAGCCGGCGCTTCTTTATGATCGACAAGTTCCTTGGGTTTGAGACGTTGTCTCCGTCCTTGTTCTCGATACTTCGTCTCCGCTTGCGCAAAAATGGCCGGGTGATGGCGTCAAGGAAGGGTTGAGGCTGGTACGGACGAGATGGTGAAAAATCGGCGTCAACCACTTCCTGGACCCAGGCTTCAATGACGGGGTTGCGATTGAGAGCCGGAGCTGGATACGAGTAGCAGTGCACTGCGGATGACATTGATGCGATTTTCGCTGATCGCCGTCGGAATTAGAAGCGAGGTCGAATCACTGATGGTAAAGGCGTGAAATTCTGGGAGGACGAAGTGCTCCGGCGATAGACCCATAGTGGCGGGGTGGTTCCTGGAGAAATGTCAGTCATGTTCCGCCCAACGCGGGAGGCTTGTTTGGCTGACCTGCTTAGGGGTAAGGGTACCGTTGTACCGGGCAACGCTCGAGGTGACGTGCCGATAGGTCAGCGCTGGGATACGACTAATACTTTGCAATACCAGACGCAATCAACAATCTTTTGGGCGCAATTCGACAGTTCTTTCAATCACAATTTGCCGGCTGCAATCGAGAGCTTGTCGCAGTAATTAGTAATGTACTACGTTCGCAACTGACTGGGCGCAAATCAGCGTAGTGCTTCTGGCAGAGCACACTACAGGGCGGTGGATCTTCTACATCAACTTCCCCATCTGTGCATACTCCCTCATCGCCGTGCCCGTTCTTTTAACCCTGAAGCCTCCTACACGCACGTTTGCCGAAAAGCTTCAACTTGTCGACTGGCTGGGCGGTTTTCTTTTCATCGGCTCTATGGTGACGTTCCTGGTCGGTCTCTCCTGGGGTGGCAATGACTTTCCTTGGCGCAGTGCACAGACTCTCGTGCCGGTTTTCATTGGCGCCGCCGGATTGATGACCACGCTGTTCTACGAGCATCGTTTCGCCAAAGTCCCGTTCTTGAAGAGGACACTCTTCACAGATATGAGCTCCATCACCGTTTACGTTCTTGGTCTCCTTCAAGGATTTATCGTAAGTGGACGCATAACAAACATCGGAAAGCCCTGAAGACCCGCTGACCCTGAATTAGCTCTATGGCCAACTCTATTACGTCCCGTTCTACTTCCTCTCAGTCAAACAGAAGACGCCGACCATGGCGGGCGTGGCAATGCTTCCGGTAACGCTCTTGCTGGTTCCTGGCTCCATCATCTCAGGTGTCCTCGT